TTAATCCCTTGAGTGTTAGACTATTCACTTGTAAACCGGATTATATAACTTCTTTTTTTTCATTCAGTACTCTCTTAAAATCATTTACTTGCTTACGATAATTAATAAGGGGTTTTTACGTTCTACGGTACCTAACTTAAAAAATGGGCTGATTACATCAAAAACTCTATCAGTAAATTTATCATCTTCTTTAATAAGATAAGACTTTGTATCATCATTGCTTAAGCAATGTTTTGATCAAAGGATATATTTTCACAGAAATTTTGCAGAATATTTTTTCACGGGATTTATGTCATCTAGTGAATTTGAATGTAATAACTTACCCGTTTCCTTATTAAATTATAATACCTAGTCGAATGTTGCAACTTTAACAATGTTTCTGTGGCCTCGTAGCGTTTTTACCTCAAACTTATCATGAATGATGTCATTTTGTCCGAGTTATTGTTCGAAGAAATATACCTATGTAAAACCAGATTTTTGTGTACAATTTGAAAACACATAATCAAACAAGACAATTTAAAAAATCAGAAAAGATGCACATTGTGAATTGTCAAATCTGTATCTAACAATAGTATATTTGAAGGGTACAAAATCGTTACCGGAAGGGTGGGTCCGGCTACCTACCTTTTTTAACAATAAAACTTGTCACCAACAGACAGTCTGTCCTACTTTGTTTTAATACAAAGTTTTATCTTAAATTTACTCCTGACAAACCCATAGAACTCCACATACCGTTCAGCACACCTAATCTGAACACTACATACGATTTATAACACCTTAATATTTAAAAAAAAAACAGTCTCCAACATACAAAAATAAAATGTGTTTCGCTCTTATCAACCTTATCTTATCAGAGTGAAATTATACGGACGCAACTTATCCGTAGGAAATGATTACGCCAACACATTAATCAATGACAAGCGAAGTACTAGTTACAATCACGCGTCAAAGAAAATTAAAAGTTTAGTAATGAACAAACTGTAATTACCAAATTATTGGAAACATTCTTGTTCAGACCAAGATATTTAATGCCCAAAGTAAGTTAAAAAGAATCCAATATAAAAAGTATTTTCGAATGGGCATGTGCCTATATTATTGTAATATAATGGCACTGTTTCACCGCTATCATGTCGACTCCCAAACACAGGGAGCTCCACGTTCGATAAGGCGTGCACATTAACGGCCATGCTGCAGCGATAGCGCTGGAATTGTGTAATTTGCGCCTCGTAAATTTAAGCCGTCGCAAATTTTTCGCCTCTCTTGCTAATTACCAGTCTGCCGTCGCCCTAGGGGACTGCTAAATGTGCTCCGCACACGTCCAGAATGCTAAAGTAGCAGTATAGTTGCGATCTCCTTTGCTCGGCGCACGTAAAACAATAGCCTTTGTTTTGGCAGTCATGGTGTACCGACGTGCTCCAAGTAAATCTTTACACGGAGTTGCACACGAGTTGAAATTTTTTAATGTGATAGTCACGTTTGTCCTTTCAAAATTAATTATTACATTTAATTTTTTTAAAAGCAACGCTTAATTTGTATTGCCATATTGTATACCACTTTTTTCCTTAAAGACATGAGTCAACATTACTCACGCTGCCCGCAAATATGGAGACGGGAGCGAAGAATAACAAATGGTGGTGACATCACTACGAGACTTAACACATGCGAGCCTTAACTTAATTCTTATTGTATGATTTGAAATTATTTTTTACATAATCTCACGGGTTAAGATAACCTACTCAAAATCAATATAATCAATATTATGTAGTTAAATATTTTCAATACTGTAAATTCGGTGTTTCTCATCGAATATACGTGAATATTTCTGAACTCAGAGTAGGTAAATCAACTGATTCAAACCGCAAATAAAAGAACTCCAAGCTTCATTTCATACTGTCTTTCGAATGGAAACAATGAAAAACTTTAATCTATATAGGTTGTTTTTGCATCCGCATTTGCGGTGGACCGAGACACACAGCCAAGGTCAGGTTACCCTGCTTTCCGCTGTCGCACTAGTTGTCCAATGACCTTGCCGCTGTCAAGTTTTTGTCTATGAGTCTGTGATCGTGCGGAGATATTAACCAGTCTCTATTTTAGAAGACGATAGTCTAAAGTGGAAAAATGTATAAGTAAAACCCGAAAACGAACGTCGACTACTCGACTGCACTTCTTCTAAATTACATTTTCAAGTTTGTAATATTATCTAGAATACGAATTGCTACTTTACATCGTATACCACATGATATACTCGTATGCTTAATCTGTAAATATCACATGTATAATACGACCTTATCCGATTTCTATTCCACTTCATTAGAGCGCGAATTACAAAACCTTCAAATGCCGTGAAGTAATACATTCACTTTCATATTTCAGCTCGTTGCAGTTTCATAACAGCTAGGAACAATCACAGTCACAATGAAATCGTTCATTTTGTTACTCCGAAAATTGCAGTAAATTTATAGACACAACAAATATTGTATTCATTTTATTTAGAAACGGATAACGACTCCAAGCGTATTCGTCGCATTCTATATGTCTTGATAGCTCAGTGGTGAGAGCGCCCTCCGTTAGAGGGAGACCCAGGTTCGAACCCCGGTCAAGACCGTGGATGCGGACGCTTAGTTTGGGGACGATTAAGCAAATTTGGTAATCACTGTTATATACAAAAAAAGTTTATTGCGGTTTTCGGGTTGGTTATTATATTAAATCTATCAGATAAATTGTTCGATGGTAACTTGATCGAGTCGCTCGACGATCTCACAAAGGACCCGCTTTCGACCGACTGTTTTTTCTCCCTTCTCCCAACCCCCCTCTGTCCCCAGCCGCTCTCACGAGATTCTTATTTAGATTCGCTTCCGTCTGTCTGATTGCTCTTAGTAATCTTTTCACTCGGTTATTGAACGTCTTCTCCGTGCGTGTCGAGTACCAAAGAAGCTACGCTATCGCCACGACTTAATACGAATCAGACGACGATATTCTCCAAAGATTCTACTTCCGTTCACTGAATAAACACGTATTCCGCAAGGTATCACAACGAGCAATCGGCCCTAATGTAATTTTGTCTAGGAGAACCTGTTATTTCGTCTACTTACATCTATTTCTCACAGACACTTTTCTAGATTAAACAACATTGACTACAGACAGAGGCAGACTGAGCATTATAATTTCAATAGAAACAATTTGCCTAATTCTCATCAAATTGTGTAGGACATTTCAGTTGAATTAAATAGCAGAACGCTGTTCTGTTACGTTAACAAAACAGCCAGATGTTTGAATATCTATTGTCTTAATGCCCATCTTCGAACAAAAGCTAAAGTAATTTTATTGTGAGAATTGAGTGTTTAAAAAAAAAACAACTTGAAAACACATATTTTTTGATTTCTTACTTATTATTATGAATAAACTGCTTTTTCGTATATAATGTAATTTAAACACGCAGTAAACTTGATGTACCAAATAAATTATTAGAAGTAAACAATAAACTGTTCTGGCACTAGAGTACTGGTTTTCGATCCTAATGAAGTCGGAAACAGCGCAACTCTTACTATAAAAAAAAATCGTTGCATCAATATCGAAAATAAAATTTCAAGATTTATATGCACGATAGAGAAGCGCGACGCTGCGTTGCGGCACACGAGTTATTTTCAACCGGGTTATGCTTTAAATAGCGCATTACGATAGGATTTGGTTTCACAAATTTTTCCCTGTTCTCGGCCCCAAACCGTGACGTGTCTACTGGCGCCCACACGGATTTTTTCACCAGAATAGTCTTCCGACTGACGTACATCTTCATATTAAAATGACAAAAAAAAATTAAGTTCCTTTTTATTAAACAAACTAGCTGACCCGGCAGACTTCGTAGTCAATCGATAAATAAAAAACCTAAACTTTTGTATAAAATAAACTTAAAACAAACAAAAGGAATCGGTCCGACGGGGGACACATCAAAGGAAAAACAAAATTGTTATTTTTATTTAATTGCGAGCATTTTCATATTTATCTACCTTTTAAACCTTCTCTGGACTTTCACAAATAATTCAAGACCAAAATTAGTCAAATCGGTTGAGCCGTTCTCGAGTTTTAGCGAGACTAACGAACAGCAATACATTTTTATATTAATCAAATTTACGATACGTATGGTGTTGTCATTGCAGTATGTGCTATAAATCTACTATTGGTAAGGGTGCATATGATTATTCTAAGGCTAATCAAAAAACAATCACGGTAAACCCTTTTGATATTAGTAAACTAGTAATGTTAATTTTATATTTTACAAGTAATTTTTAATATATGTATATGTCTGTAAAATAAGTTGAGACAGCAGATTTGAGGTCGATATATTATGTTTGTTAAGGTGCTATAACTTCATGCAATCATAAATTACAAAAAAATACCAGCTGTAAATACCACGTCAAACTTATATAGCCATTTTTTTAAACTTGTAGCCAATTCTATGAAAAAACATGTTGCATAAACCATTCTAAAATATTCAGTAATGTTTTGCATTCGTATATGTAAAAATTCATGTTAACTGTTTTAGTTTCAAAACTTGTAATGAATAAATATTATGATTATTGTTTTTCATAAGTGTTAGAATAAGCTTGGTAATGCAAAAGCTGTCTAGTATTTAATTTAAAATTCTACGAATGAATATATGAATAATCAACAGGCAAATACATATGTTCATATTGGCAAAATAATAACAACAGGAAGAAACAAAAAAAAAAACATAAAATTATTAAATTATTTCGAATTCTGGCCATACGTTTGAATTGGTATTTATGGAACACCGTTTATCTATAAAAAAATTTTTACACTATTACCGAACTGGATTCAACGTTCCTCAAACCTGCTGTCTTTTAACATTTTGTGGTGGATTACGCCGACCGTGTGCGGACCTAAGAGCGGTCCACGCGCACGCTTGCTAACCCGGTAGCCGCTTGTGCTTGGCTCCGGGGCGAAAGGCCCGGAGAGTAACCAGTGTGTTTTGTTGTTCGCAGAGTTGAGCCCCGCACCGCACCGGCTTGCTCGCTGACCGCCGAGCCGCTAATCTAGCTTTTTTCGCGCCCCACCGTCGCCAGCCCAGACCCACACCGGCCGCCGCAATGCTCGCGCACCAAGCACAGCTCGCCCTCTACTAAACTCATCAGTCAATATCTATAAAAACGCGTGTGATAACAATAATTTAATACTCGCCTCTATAAGCTTGCAACGTCGGTGTCTTTAATTCTAACTTAATTGTAAGGATTAATCAATTAGTTAGTAACTATCATCGTATCCGCGCGTCTCCCGCTGCGGAAGTATATTTCTCGCGTGTGCAGTAGTGTGTGATAGTGAGGGTGCGCGAGAGCCTCCAGTGGCCAAGAGTAGTTTGCGACAAACCAGTGTGAGAAGTGCATGCAAAGAGCGCGCCGTCGCGCTCGCCCGCTGTCACTGCCTATGCGCCGCACTCGCACTGCGTAAAAGTGCGCGCGAAAACCGCCTCCTTTGAAGACATAGCCAACAATGGCCACCATGGTGAACATGAACAGCTTGCTGAACGGCAAGGACTCCCGCTGGTTACAACTCGAAGTATGCAGGGAGTTCCAGCGGAATAAGTGCTCGCGACCAGATACTGAATGCAAATTTGCGCATCCCCCGGCTACCGTCGAGGTGCAGAATGGAAGAGTCACCGCCTGCTACGACAGTATCAAGGTAAGATTCCCTGTTTTTCTACTTAAATTATTCAAAAGACATGAATAAAAAGCAAAGATTTTTTACTATTTTCCGCTTGAACAAGATCACCCCCTCAAGGCGACATTTGGACGGCGCTATTCCGCTCGCCGACCTCAATCCCAAGGCTAACTTGGAGTGACGTCAACTTCGTTGCCGCCAGTGTCGATCATGCACTACCTATTGTATGAGAATTGCCATCGTTCTAACATAATGAAGAGGGCGATGACTCGCCGCTTAGACTGGTTTATTTATTACGTATGACGGATTACCCTAGCAGCCTTCATTTACTCTTTGTATTTACATTGTAATGATTCGTTGCTATTCTGTAAATAACGATTAAGTTACTATTTTCTAAATAACTATAATAACATAATGGACAAATACATTAATATTTATAAGGTACAATACGGGTCAAGTCTCAGTATCGTCAACGACATTGATTTCGTAGTGAATATGGGCTCCGACAATAATAAGCCGTCAGCTCTACAACTAATTACAAATACAATTACAGTCATCATAAAATCAAACTCAATCAAACATTTTGCAAGAAAAAACTTATCAATGCAAATCCGACGGTGTCGTTACGCGATATAGTTTTATCAATGTTTTGTTCAGTTGAGTGATAACGCCGGAATATTTCGAGCGAATGGACGCGATAAAAATTTAACCCGACATGTAACCGCGCACCTCTGTCACTGTAACGCCCGAGGCTGAGAAGTTTATCGGATAACTATGCACAAAATTCGAATACACCCATTTTATCAACAGAATATACATACGGTTTAACGAGTAAAAAGGGTGCGTGTATTTATGTACACGCGTAAGAAATTATACTTTATTTTTATTTTATTTTTATTTAAATTTTAATCAATTTGAATTAAAATCGATTAAACAACAACCTCAAACACGTATATTGGACATCCCTTTTCTTGACATCGTATAAATTCGGTAATTCTCGGTACGGTTCGGAAAGTTCACCTGCGGCTATATTCAGACTCGACAAGTTACGTCGGTCGTATTTTAATGAGCGATTTAGTGGACAACTTCATTCTGTTAATTTTGTGTCACGGTGCGCGCGCATCGTAAAATTTCACTCTCATCAATTTTTCATAACGCGCCTAAAGAAGTATAACTTCAAAAAATAATAATTCCACTACTACGTAGCAAAAAGTTAAAGTATTCTGAAGTACCGTAAGTAATGTATTCTTAAATTCTTTTATGAATAATAACTGAGCAAACGTTTTTCAACGAAACCGTTTTATAAAGCAGATAATTGAGCTAAATAAAAGGCACTCGTTCCTTAATATTTCCCCTGTATTTTTCTTTTGATGCTCGACTGAACGCGATCAAGAGATAAAACGCACCGACTACAGGATCGGGCCGGGCTTGTAAGATATCCCCACGTCTGCGGCGTCACCCGTTTACGATTCAATATGCTCGTCCATGTTTCACTTTATTTTGATGACATCAGCGAATCGCTGCTTTCACAGCACCTCCAACACACAGCGGCTCGCATGCTGTGGGCGTTGGGCTTGTAACGACCCGCTTGTCTCGCAACTATCAAAACACGTTTTTTACTTTGTATATTTTTGTAACCTCCCACATTTTGTCACCACAGCAAGACACTGCTATAGCTTTCTTCGTATACCATTTGGCAATATTCCATGTCACCTCGCGATCTACGGTGTTTCGAAATACGCTTCTCATAAGCCAATTGGAGCGCTGGAAATGAGACCGTTTGTTGTAGGCGGAATTACAAATATTACTCTTGAACCATATATATGTATGTATGTACTAAGTTAATGTAGGTATACATCTAATCATAGGCCTCGTGTTTAGTGCGGGATGCAAAACAATAGACTGTAGAACAATGTGCAGGCTTTGTGGATAGTGCAGCATATATCGTAAACTATGAAACCGCATAAACAGTAGAGACGCCGCCCGCTAGGTAGAGGTCCCTATTTCATAATTAACTGTTTACGTGTTTTAATTTATACCTCTTCTTCATGTCCTTATCACACAAGCTAAGCCCGCTGTTCTGACTGTTGCGGTTTATTAGTTTAATTATAGACTGTAAACATGAAAATAAAGGTTGGCGCTGGTAATAGGGTTATGTTAAAGTAAGGGTACTACTATGATTGGAAGTACGCGAGGTCCGTAGGAGACAATCAAGCTATTGCTAGCATCGCATATACATACGCCCTTACTGAAAATACGTACTTAACAAATGCTCACGATTGACTTCCAAGGTGAAGGAATAACATTGTGTAAAAAAAATCCCAAGAATTATAATTTGCGTAATTACTGGTAGGACCTCTTGTGAGTCCGCACGGGTAGGTACCACCACTCCGCCTATTTCTGCCGTGAAGCAGTAATTCGGTTTGATGGGTGGGGCAGCCGTTATGACTATACCTTACCTTACCTTACCTTAGAACTTATATCTCAAGGTGGGTGGCGCATTTACGTTGTAGATGTTTATGAGCTATCCAGTTATCCAGTAACCACTTAACATCAGGTGGGCTGTGAGCTCGTCCACCCATCTAAGCAATAAAAAAAAGTGGTACAGACTAATGGATCAAATATATGCTCTAACATTATAATATTATTCTTTGAATACCTCAGAATATATCTCGAAAATACGATGTGTCGAAGTATCAAAATTATAAGTCAGCTCATTACACCGAACGGATACACACATGTAGGTACGTTGATGACTCTTTATTGTCGATTATGTAAAACCAATTAATCAGCACATGTACCGAAGACTTGTCTTTATCTTTTTCTTATTTGGTATTAGCTATAAACTAATCAAGTTTTTAAATAAACATCTCTAGCAAAATAATGTTAAAAAATAATAATAGTATAATGTTTTATCTTTGAATTCAAAATATTTGCAAATACCATATGTGTATGTACCAAAAATAGATCACCTTATTTTCTGCACTAATGATTTTTTTTTATATCTGTTCATAAGGTTTTTTGTATGCAGTTATGCAGTAGAAATTAATTGATCACTATCGTGCTTTCAATACTATTTCAACTATCTTATATGTTAAAGTTCAAACAGGGCGGTAATTATAGAATCATCTTAAAGCCACACGTTACAGTAATGCAAAAAAAAATATTTTGTGATTTTGATACAATTTGAATAAGGTCAGTGACCTTTTCCTCATAAAATTCATTACACGTTGCCATACCGTACAATTTGTTTACAAATAAGATAATAGTTATATAGTTACGCACGTGATATTCACAATTCAACAACCTTGATTCCATTTTTATTAATGTAAACGTTTTGTTTATTTTGTAATATTACATAATTACATTAACATTTATATTAAATGTTTTATTTGATGGCCTTACCGTTATCCCTATATTGTGTAGCACAAAGCTACACGAACTTAACAGATAATTACTTAGTTCTTGATTTTCATCCCTACAATCTTACCATCAAATAATTTAATAGATTTACTTTTTAAGATGGGTGGCTGTATTCACGTTTTGTGTCGTAATAGACGTATTAGAAGTATTAGAAGTTAATACTTCAGTAACCACTTCACACCAGTTGAGCTAAGGACCCGTGCACAATAAATAATAAAAAACTAAAAAGTACATAAAATTATGTGAGCATGGTTACTAATGTTTACTTATTTATTATTATTTTTTACTTATTAGTAAACATTAGCACAACTTATTAGTAAAATTTAACAATTTTACCAAAATATTTAACGTAATATTTTACGATATGTTTAATAGATAAAAAACAACTCGTAAGAATCTAACATCTTAGGTACAATAATTAAAAACTACAGTGGATTAGGAGGTTTCAAAAATAGAAATGCTGTACAGCGGCGAAGAGGGCAAAAGTGAATGTAAGCAACGGCACAACGTGGGCTGTATCAAAGATAGTAGGTATGTGACATAGATCGAAATTTTGCTAGCGATACCCCTCGTTCCCACCACAAATCATAAACTCAGCTTAATAACTTAGTTTAATGTTGTGATATTCGCTACCATTGACATCCACAACAGTTGTAGACAATTTTAATATAAACGCGACTTTTCCGTCTCCCGAAAACATTTAAAAACCGGTTGCTTTTACTTTTATGTTAAGGCCGTGTCGTGGTTGTGTTATTAACAGATTATGTGGTAATGGATACTTGAGTAGAACGCCTTCACACACTTGTTCACTTTTGCTTTTCATAGCCTGAGCTAAATACGATATTTTACTTTGGCATATGGGATGAAGGGCTCATACATAGCCTATCAGGTAAGGGATGCCTGGGTATGTCGGAACGAATACCGCTAAACACCTTGGGGCAGAGTTCGAAGTTCCGATTGCATTGCTATACTAATCTATAGCAGAAATAGGCATAATAAACACGATATTAGAAGAGATAGAGGATTAAGAAGAGATTTCTATATTTATACCAGGGAATATATACTATAGGACTATAGTAATTATACTATACTACCAGGCTATGAGGAAGCAGTAGTCGTAGCTGAAGACAGGTAGGCACATTCATATATGGACCGTTTATTTTGAAAGTGGTGTAAGTCCATTTTCTTTTGTTTCGAGAAAATTAAAGGTTACTTAGTATATTTGTTGAATTAAAAATACAGACAAATCATATGAGGTCTGGCTATGCCACCTACCTCTGTCAATTGGACTTACACTACTTTCATAATCGATGATTATGCAATTTCATTTACCGACCGATTTTAAGTTGTACAAAACATGGAATTTTTTTGAGAAATAAAACACGGACTAGTTATATATAAAAAAATTACATTAAATTAAGCATGAATTACGTGGTAGCTCATTTTTCTCAAAAATGGACTTACACCACTTTCAAAATAAACGGTCCATATCTTCTAATTTATGAATTATACATACATGTATACTATAGTCTAACAGATTGCTTTAACGAATATCCTTTTCAGGCTCGCCTTATGCTTAGTAAACATTTGTTCCTTGA